TTTCATCCTGCTCCCCTGCTTTGGCTTGTGCTTTCACTTTTATCTTTGGCTAAGCTGTGGTTATAACCTTTTTATTTGCTGACTCCTGAAGAACAATACAGCCGTCTCTCCATATTGGGTGTGTCTTTATTTGTCCTGTGTGACACCATCAGGGACGACTGTGAAAGCTGGGTGTTACAAGTCAGAGAGAATACATGGCAGAAGTGTCAGCTGATGTCCATGAAGCTTTTCTGTAAAACAATCCAGGATGAGCTTTTGTTTGGGCTAACTCTGAGCATGTAATCCCTCTCATAGTCCTAATTAATCAACGCTGTGCCAGCAGGTCGGGTACACTGCAGTAAAACCTCATCAGCTCTGAGGCCTCATTAAACATGAACTCTGACCATCCGGATTCCAGCCCTTAGCATTATAAATTCCTATGGGTGGTATGTATTGGATTACATGATATTATACAGGTGAACCAGACTAACTGTAGTTAGTATCATGAGAATAAACAGAAGAATTATTTAAGGGTTCAAACAGCCAACAGTCATCTTTCCTCATGCATGATGTCCCTGCTGTCATGATACCACCACCCTGTGCTATTTGTGAACGCTGTTGACCCCACAGTTACATCACCATACCCCGAATCAAACATCCACCGTGTTCAGAGTGGGGCTCTGCTGTGAAGCAGTCGGTCCTGACCAGCTCAGTGTTTCCTCTGCAGGGTGAAGGAGCTGACAGTGGACCCCAACCAAGTGATTGAGGGGGGGCGACCCAACATCAACGCTGTCAACCAGCTGGATCTTTTGGACGAGGACTGGCTGAGTATCTCGCCACAGAGAGACGACCTCAAACTGCTCTGTGAGCAGAATGTAAGTGCACATAATCGGCTCTTTTTTTGTTTTAACTGAATGTCTACAGCAAGCATATTGTGGAAAATTAAGAAAATAACTAGACAGAAATGTCTGTTTTTGGCCAATCCAGTAAATTAAGTACCTGTCACTTATTTTGGTATAGAGCCTTTCAATCATAGAAAAGTTGTGTAAACAGGCTGTAAAGTCAGAAATGTTTGAAACTTGTAAAGAATCGACATTATTCATGTTCACTGTGATCCGGATTTTAGCAGTTGACCTCCAAAAGGTGTTTGTCCTGTGTTCAGTTTTTGTTGCTCCTGAAGCCGTGTCAACCCTGTAAATATGTTTCCCAGGAGGAGGAAGTGTCTCCCCAGCTTTTTACCTTCCATGAGGCAGTGTCTCAGTTAGTGGAGATGGAGGAGCAGGTCCTCGAGGACCACCGAGCTGTTTTCCAGGTCAGAACTCTTTAAATACTCCAGGTCTTTTTTTTTTTAAATACATATATACACACATTGTAAACATCAAATAAAAGCAGTACATTGTCTGTCGTACAACAGTTTTGACTAAGCAAAAAGGTATATTTGCTAATGACTAATCATTTTGGTAACTCTTTTTAACAATAGAGCTGTATTTTCTATTCAAGAGGTCATTATTCAGTGCTGGCTCCACTTCCTCTCTGGCTGTGATAAACTAAATATGCTCTTGTATGTGTCCTCTGCGAGCAGGAGTCTATCCGGTGGCTGGAAGATGAAAAGGTGCTGCTGGAGATGACAGAGGAGGTGGATTATGACGTGGAGTCATACGCTACTCAACTGGAACAGATCCTCGACCAGAAGATAGAAATCCTCACTGAGCTCCGAGGTATGACTGAAGCACAGAAACACACTGCTGACACAACATCCTGCTCCAGCAAACCCCACACTTACTTTTTTATGATGATGTCTTTTCCTCTCCTTCAACAGACAAAGTGAAGTCATTCCGCTCTACGCTCCAGGAGGAGGAGCAAGCCAGTAAGCAGATCAATCCCAAGAGGCCACGTGCTCTTTAGACACTGGAAGCTGAAGAGGTTTAAGTGGCACATGAAGAAACCACTAGATGTTTGGCACAACTCGGGCTGTCACTAGCAGCTGTGAATAAAAAGGACTGTCTGATGTACCAACAGGCTCAAGAAATTGCATTTGTTATGATCCCTCTCCTAACAAAAACTGGCTATTCACTCACTATGGTCTCTTTTAGAAAACTTAGGAAGGAAAATAGCTTCCTTCCCTTTTTAGTATTTTTTTCATGGAGAAGATTTAGTCTCCCCCCTCTCTGTTCTTAAATTATTTTCTTTTATACTTGTTTGTACTTTCTTTTGAACAGAACATTTTTGACCTGGTTTTAGAAGAGATCTTCATTGAACATGTTTTACCGCACAAAACCAGTATTTGATTTCTGGTTGCTCTGGCTGACATGTCTGCATGTGCACTCTGTAATAGCGTATGTATGCCACTGTCCTCGGTTATTTTCATGCTTTTAGGTCCTCATTTGGCATTGTAAAGTCATACCTCATGATAAGCGGTCTCTTCTCTCTTTTCCTTCCTTCTCAGAGCTTTTACCAGTGTGGAAGAAGCCTTTAACGACATTGTGCTTCTTCCTTTTGTCTTTCTTTCCCCTTGTGCCCCTGAGAGGTTTTTACATGTAGTTTTCTTCAGTTTGTGCCATGTCATTCTATGTGGCAACTGACTTAAAAACTCTTACTAAATGTAAAACATGTTTTCCACCCCTGTTTAACACTTTGTTATAAAAATGAAACTAGAAAAACTGCTATTAATAAATGTATAGTGAAGACCACTGACCTACCATTGGTTATGTTGCTCAGTGTTTGCACCGGATGTAATGCTGGATGAAGTAAATAAAGATTCATGTGTTTCATTTGAATGGTCTTTGTGAAAGTGAGTTAATAAAATTAATAAATGGACTGAGTAACTTCCATAAAAAGCCATCTACTCAGAGGTGGTAAAGATACGTTGCAGCAATTTAAATACATAAAGCAAGTATCTTACAGGATATGGAGAAACACCACATAGTGACAGCAGCTAGGCACTATCAGTACCCATGACAGATGCTTCCCGTTTACCCTCCACAGAGACCAACGTGACCTTATGTATTGTAGTGAGGTGATGGTGACACTGCACATAGCTGTATAAATATATAACAATCTATTTCTTACCTTAAATGTTGATGCAGCAGTAGCTTGAAGGGACACTGTTACAAAATCTGCACAATTAAGGAAGTGTATTTTATATATAGATAATATACAGCATGCAGTAAATGACATTACCTGTACAATGTCAGCACCACGGTTGGCCAGCTGATGTCAACATGCTCTTGAACAAATTAATGGTTTCAAATAAATGTAGTGCTAAGGCTTCATTACTACTGCTAATAAACACCGAAAACCTACAGTAAAATATGAACTCAATCACGTTGCACCAAAAGCGTAAATGCTGCGATTATATTACGTTTTATTTTGAAAGGCTGTCACCGAAAGCATTCGTATGCTACTGTGTCTACCTTGACGACAGCTGCGTCAACGGTCACCATGACTAAGCATGTTTGTTGCCCTCTAGCGGTGAAACTGAGTCCTACAGCTGCTCTTTCTTCTGGCAATAATACAGTCAGTACTGATAGTCACTGTGCCACACAATGTATTAAATACTTGGGATTATTTTAAACATTAAGTTCCACACAATTACAGTGGTCACAGTGTTAAACAGTCTGCCGTTTGTTTTGAGGTCTTGTGTAACTGTCATAATGTTAGTGGAGTCAATCGTCCGTTGTTGCTGCCCTCTTGTGGACTCAGTCCGCCATTACAACTCGTAATGTAACGTTAACTGGCGGATGTTTAGCTGAATTTACTGAGAACAGTCACCATAATAAAATAGCTCTTGACTACGGTTGATTATACTAACGTTAGCATCATGGCAAACACGATAAACATTGAAGATTAACCGATTACGTTAGACAGTGCTGTAGTTGTACACTGTGGCCACCGGAGGGCAGTGGTGAGCCACAAACTGTACCAAAAGTAAAGACAGAAGTAATAGCATAATACTACAATTTCCGGTCAAGACTTTCAAAATAAAACAACTAAAAACCTAGCGATGTAGTTGCACTTTGTAACCGCCAGAGGGCAGTGTAAACTTGTGATTTGGGGTAAAAGCAGTCATACTTTGTTCAGCGGTTTTTATAATAAAACATTGCTGAACAAAGTATATCATGCCATGGCAGAAGCAAGTTAAAGATGGCCTATTAAAGGTAGCCTATTTAGCAAAATATAACCGTTTACTGCAGAGTAGTTCAGTGCTTCAGGAAGCTTTTAGTGCCAGAAAATATTAGAGAATGGTCAGAACAACCAACAAAAAAGAAGGCGATATTTAGCCAAAACACGTGACACAAATAGTGTCTTATGTACAATCTGCACAGCTAATAAACTACACATATTATTTAACTTTAACACATTTTCACGCACTTACACAAAGCATTCATTGCCCTCTGCTGGCCACAGTGAGTAACTACAACTACACATTAACAATAGACATAAAACAACTGTACATTCTCCATTATTATCAGTATATGTGCAGCTGTAATTACTCACTGTGACCATACGTTGCGTCAAGCTTCATAACATAATAAAAAATATTGTAAAATTAAAACTTGCAGTGTAATTGCAACTTATGACCACAAGAGGGCAGCAAAAACTCAAAACGCCCTCAAGACAACTATCAACAGTAGCAAAGCATCAAGTCCCACACAGACTCCGGTACAAACTTTCAAACCATCAGAAGTGTACTTACCAGTTGGTAATATGCAGTTGCGAGAGGCAATAAAACACTTACGACATTAATCAGCACCAGCAATGTGAGACAGGCACAAAAGCATTTAACACTTAAGGTGAAGATGAGCACCATTAACTCCCAAAATAGTAATCTGCCAAAAAAGGCCAATGATATCTTTTGGTTTTGAATTACTGGTTGGGTAAGAACATTTAATACATCACCTTTGGCTGTAGAAACTCCAGATGATGATATTTTCTGACTTTAAAAAAAAAAGTGTAATCAATTAAATGAAGTGAAAGATTGTGTTGAGCACAGAAAAAGAAAAGCCGGGTAGAGAAAAAAAAAAACTGGACAATCTGAATTTATTTTAAGAGACTGTTAGCACAATTAAATGTGTTATTTTTATATACCTTTTATATTCCACAAAGAGGTAATTTTGATGTAGCTTTTTCAGATTTCACACACCCACACAAACACAAACACACACCAAGAGGGCTTATACACAAACACTGTCCACACGTGCCCAGGGACTCTATCATGAGGGTAAAACAGTACACTCAATATGAGCTCTTTAAATGCATCCTCCAATATTCTTTGTACATTTCATCCAACTTTTTCAACATTTGAAATTCAGCTCCTCCAAGCAAAGCTTCACAGGAGGAAAGATCTTTCTTTCCTCTCATCTGACCTCTAAACTTCTCTCTCATCACAAAGATGGGTATAAGAGCCATAGGACTGTTTTCTTCAGTCTCCTCTGCTGTTTAAGAAAAGTGGATCCCTGCAGAGTTGAATGCATGAAGCAGCCTGTGGATGAAAACAACACTAATTAAACAGATCAAAACAGACATTTACTGTAGCAGATTATTTGTGGAAAAAGGGTTGAAGAAACAAATAAGTAGACGTTCAACTTACACCATGAAGTCATCAATATCCATGGACCTGGCTCTCTTCTCACAGAAACCAGCCTCCTGCAAAACACCCTCAATCTTCTTGGTGATGCTGAAGTCCGCTGGGACTTCCTGTCAAGATGAAGGAGAAGACTTTGGATTGAAACTGGCCAATGAGTGACCTTAAAAAGGGACAGACTTCCAGTTTTCTCATGTTAAAGGTAACGACACTGACTGAGAGTCCAATATGACTGATACACTTTGACTCACCACATTGTGTACAGAGCAGTGAATTCTGTAATTCTTTTCCAGCAGCTGTTCTACCGCAGTGGACCTGGAACAACAAGATCAACATGATCCTCTGGTTTTTTTTTTTCCACACACTCTTTTGACAGGACAGACTTGGACTATGGTGACAGTGTTTGTAGCAGGCACACACTCACTTGAAAGCTGCATTGAGGGTTTTGTTTTTCCTTACAAAGGCAATTCTGACCAGACCATCCCACTCCTTTTGGGGGGTGAAGAAAAGAAAACATTAAAACAAATATCTACAATTTATCAAATGTTTTGACCAACTGCCTTTTCACAACATTAACTATTAACGAGTCAAACCTCACCTGGAAGTTAACTGGAGGAGGAGGATTTTTCGGTTCTATCCTGACAACACTTGACTCGACTTTGGGAGGAGGACGGAAATTATTCTTTCCTACCTGATTGAGAGGGAAACATCAACACTGAGACCAAGTTGTTGCAAAACAGGAAACTCCTGGATTAAAATATACTGAATGCTCAGAGCGCACACTGACCTTCATGAGATGGTCTACACGAGCCAGCAGTTGTGTGTTGATGGACAGTCTGCAATACAGCTTGTCTCCAGGAGGGGCAACCAGTCGCATGGCAAACTCTCTCTGGAACATCAACACGGCGCACCTGAACAAACAGAAAATAAACGAGGTGATAAATGCTCAACGTGGACATACGAAGAACGGTCAAACACTCTCAGTGGGTCTCTGGTTGTTTCTTACCTGAAGAAAGGTCGATGCAGCAGGAGCTTGAAGACAAACGGTGATGAAATCTGCACAATTAGGAGAAGGTTTGAGATAAATGTAGTGAATGATACTGAATCAACCGTGTGCAGTGTGGAGGAAACAGGTCTTTACCTGGTATGGTAAATTAGCCACACAGACGTCAAAAAACGGCAGATCTGTTTTGAGTACATCTCCAACTAATATTTGAAGTTTGGTCTGCATGGGCCTGTTGGAGAACACACAAAGTCCTTTTATTAGATCACATATTTACTTTAAATATAAATATGTGAGGTGGCACGGTGCTGCTGACTCCACTCACGTGCACTGTACTCTTTTCTGAAGTTCAGCCACTAATCTGCTGTCCAACTCACAGGCCACCACCTGCAAACACACGAGTTTCTGTTACGACTGAAGAGTGACAATCAATTATTTTATCACAAAAAACCACAAAGATCACAAAGAAGAATGTGAAACGTAAAAGTTGGACAAAGGACAAGTTAAAGACATGGAAATTCATCTTTGGCTTCAGATCAAGGCACATGTGTAATGTTTACACTGGACTGTATTCAAAGCTAATGAGGAGCTACAGTGCAGTTGTAATACTCTAAAGTAGAAAGGTTGTGCTTTTCAAAGGCAGATATTATGTTGATTATTCACAATCAATTATTAGTTTCTGTAAAAACCCTTCAAATTAAAATACTTCAACTAAAAACATTGTGACACATTAGTTACGCATTAGACATTTCTTAAGGTGACATTAGAAATCAATAAATGTTTTATTTCCACATGTTTAGACATTTTTACAAAAATATAGGTCCCTCATTGAACTATCACTTAGTCTAAAATGTGGCCACAAGAGATCATTAAATTAATTTCCCTTTTTTACCTGTTATCTTTAAATAAATATAAATAAATGTGTTAAATTTGACACCAAACCAGGGTGGCATCGGGTGGCAGCTGGTGGCAGCTGCTTTACATCCACCTCTGGTGCTCTGCACAACCAAAATGATGGGGAACAACATTTTTATTATTAAGGTATGGTTTAAAAAAACAACAACCCGGTAACACAGACAGATTTTGACCAAATAAACGCCATTACTCTGCCATTTATATTGGATATGTGTTTAAAATGCTTTAAAAGTGAGCATGAAACAGACCAGGACAAGGACAGTAGAATAAAGTCCATCTTTGGTTACAGAAGGCTTTAATGACTTCTGCTCTATTTCAGAGGCTGTAGGGGGAAACTCTGAATATTGATCAAGCAACATGCAAACGGCAGTTTCAGGGTAATTAGACTAATGTTTGTTAATGCATTATCTGATTGAGGATGAGTCAGCTTTGATATCTCAACCAGATTACTGGAGGTTTTCATGTGCAGCTCACCTTCTTGGCCTTTTCCAGCAACTTCACTGTCATGTTACCAGTACCAGGTCCAACCTCCAGAACCACATCAGTCGGCCTCAGGGCAGCCTAAAAAAACACAGCCACAACCAAAGCTTAGAAACACTGTGTACAGTATTTGTTAATAGGACAATTGTGTGTGTCAAAAACTCAATAATTATTAACAACATACCTTCTCAATGATCCCGTTAACAATCAATGGATTCTTCAGGATGTGCTGGCCGATGCCAGTGTTGAACATGATCCCTGCAACAGACAGGATTGGGACAGTGTGTGTACTGGGGAGGTGTGGTGATAATGACTAAAGCAGTCTACGGTAAAATAATAAAATTCAATTACCTTTTTCTTGCATAAATGGGCTTAAGACAATACTTCCACATCATCATTAGAAAGGTCAAAATCTCAACACATTTTTGGAGCTCAGTATCAACATACAGTTAGGTCCAAAATATTTGGACAGTGACACCATTTCCATGATTTGGGCTCTGCATGCCACTCTGCATTAATACGTGCATTGGGTAATCATTGGGTTGATTTTAGCCAGAGTTTGTCTTACATTTAAAATAAATAAAGTACAGGACTCCTATACTACTACAGTTAGGTCCATCAATATATTTGGAACTGGACCACAAGTTCTGGTTTATTTTAGGCTGTCTTACCAAAACATATTCAACGATACGTAAGATATTACACAAATGGGCTTAAAGTGCAGAACTCTCAGCTTTCATTTTAGGGTATTCACATCGCAGATGGAGGGAAGGTTTAGAATTACAGCTTTAATATGTAGCTGCCTCTTTTTCAGGCACACAAGTAATTGGACACTTAAATCAAACGCTATTTCATGGGCTGCATGGCTAGTCCTTGTTAACCATCATCAATTAAGCACGGTAAAAGGTCTGAAGTGATTCCGGTGTGGCTTTTGCATTTGTTTTTGAACAACATGCAGTCAAAGGAGCTCTCAATGGAAGTTGAAACAGACCATCTGGCTGCAGAAAAAGAAGAAATGTCATCAGAGAGATAGCGGTAATGTTAGGATGGCCAAATCAACAGGTTTGGTACATCCTGAGGGAAAAAAGAGCCACTGGGAGCTCAGGACTCCAAAAAGGCTTTTTTTTGCAGGGATCCTTTCTATGTTAAAGAAAAGAAAAAAACCCCTTCACAACATCCATCAAGTGAAGACACTCTCCAGGAAGCTAGGTGTATCAGTATTCAGTCTACATAAAGAGAAGACATCATGTGAGAGCAGAACTACAGAGGTTCACCACAAGTTGCAACCATTAATCAGCCTCAAAAATAGAAAGGCAGATTAGGGACTTTATCCAAAAAACATCACAGGAGCCAAACTTAGTTCTGGAACGGGTTTCTTGGACACGATTGAAACTAAGATCACAAACCGTACCAGAATGATGGGAAGAGAAAGTATGGAGAAAAGGCTTGGGACGGCTCATATCCAAAGCACCACATCTTCTGTAAGAACATGGTGGAGACAGTGTGATGCATGGTCACTGGGTCACTAGTGTTATTGATGATGTGACAGGAGACAGTAGCATCGATGTGTTTTATGAACTGTATAGGGATTATTTCCGTTCTGCTCAGACTTCAGCCACAATCGGGCCAGAGTTTGATCTGACGGCACTCACAGTACAGATGGACAATGCCAAACATACTGCAAAAGCAACAAGGAGTTTTTTTTTTTATATATAGAACATTTGAATTAGTCCAGTTATTGTTTGGAGCCTGAAAATGAGGAGAACTGTGTTTAAAACTAAAAATGTTGCCAATTTCTTAAACCGGATTTGAGAGTAGGATATTTTTTGTCAACCCTTGAATTAAACCTGAAAGTTGCACTGTCAGTTGAATTTCAGCTGTTTTAATTTCAAATCCAA